ACAGCGCCCCACACCGCACGGGGCCGCCCCGGGCCGCGCCCGCTCACCTGACAATCCAGGAGCACCTTCTGCACCGAGACCACGCTTTCCGGTTTCCGCAAAGTTCTCAGTCTCTCCTCCTGCGCCTCCATCCAGTTGTCCAGAATCTGAATTTTGTTTTCGTTCTCAGTGATACTTTCCAAGAGTTGTTCTAAATGTTGTATCTATAAGTTATGAGGAAGACAACTTCTTATTTTAAACCATAGGCTTTAAAATGTAAATGTCATGATACGATGTTTTACATAGGATATTTTATCTTCTGAGATTTTTAATATGTATAAGATTTCCCAATAACTTTTGGAATAAAAATTCATAAATTAGGAAACAGAATTAAAATCTCCTTTGGAAAAAAATTCTAACATTTGAAATGAAACCTAACCCGCTAAGAAAGCTGGCTGTTTTGGAGTTCCACAGTATCTGAACAAAATAAAATCATGTTGTTGACAGTATTATATATTATACTTATGTATACAATATTATATATTTACATATGCGTACACGTATACATCAAGTTTTGTATTCATTTTCTAATATTTTATAGGCATTTGCATGTCATGACATATACTTTTATTAACTTAAAAGGCTGCCCAATATTTCATCAAATGAACACAGTATAACTTGATTAATTATACCTCTGTAGTTGGAAAATTAAGGCATTCTACTTTCCCTAGTATAATAATTGTAAATTTAATATTTTGTGCGCATGTCTTTTCCTTTTTGAAGGATTATTTACTTAAGATAAACGGAAGAGGTGGACTGCTGGGTTAAGAGATAAGCTAGATAAGATGGTTATTACGGTTCCTGAAGTTTTCTGAATGCCTTCCAAAAGGGTATTTCAGCCATTATCTGAAAAGGACGAATATGACAGCTTTGGGCTTTGACCTTTATCTTATTAAATTTTTCTAATTTAGGAAGTGTGGAATGCTACATTAATGTTTATTTTAAATATCTGATATTTAAATAACTAAAGAGGAAAGATTTCCATGTTTATTTGCTGATTATAGTTTTTTCTTTTGTGAGTTGTCTGTTCTGGTTCTTTGTTCATTCACATACTTGAACCTTAATTGCATAAATCTATTTGTGTGCATTCTCTACACAAAACAGGAATCAACAGATTGTCCCTGTCAATTATACACAAAGATTAAATATTTTCCCAGGAATAAGTTCTCTTAATCTTTTCAGTCATGGAATAAAAATCTACCGAAAGGCCACATACATTTTTCCTTCCTTTTTATAATCTTTCCCAAGCTGAAATACTTTGCTGCTTTTGGACATCCACTTTCACAGAAAATGTCAAAATCTCTGACTAGTTAGTAGGCTCACATAATACATCTCCTTAAATAAAATTTTTCTTCTTCACTTGCCTAACTCAATTTCCCACTAAGAAATCTCCAAAGAAACGTAAGAACTATATTCCTCCTCTCCTATGGAGAATGCTAGAACACAGGGTTATTAAGGGCCAACCGCTGAGACGATTAACAGAAGTCATTATAAATTAACTGTATGAATGTCTTTTACAATGTTTCAGACAGTGCTATTTTGCAAAGGCCAAATCCTGCATCAGAGTGAGACGCATGAGCACACCTTTCTGTTCAGTGCTCCGTGTACGTGGTGCCACTGGCGGTTCATCTCTCCCAGGTGCTCTGCAAACTCCGTTCTCTCGTAGCGCTTACTTTCCACATCACAGGTGCTCAACTGAAGTAATGACTGGTTAACAAAGTCGACTATCCATTGTTTATAGTCCATTTCCATTCTAAACTCCTAAAGCAGAATGAATGAGCAAAATTAAGTCATCGAAGCCTGAGATGAATTCAGTTAGATGAACTGGAGTTCCCCTCTGGCGCACTCTAGGCGGCACCAAGCTCTCAGCCGTTAATCCAGGGGCACCTGTCAGGAGTCCTGGTTTACCTTCCCCACCCCGCCCCACCCGACCCCCCATCCCCACTAGCAGTCTGCTTTGCTTGAAAGGAGAGTCTTTTTGGAAATTCACATTCCTGGGGATAGACTGACTCATCGCTTTCAAACAGATTAAAAAGTCATAGGCAGCACAGAGTATGGTGGCTACATCATCTAAACCAAAATCAGGACCCGGGGACTAATGAGGGTTCCAGTGGGAGGCCACCTGAGAGCTGCACTGGATTCAGCGCCACGCTGTGGGCACATGGACACGACAGGACGGCAAGGCTGGAGTTAAGATTCCCGGACCACCCGGGACACCTTTAAGGAACGTCACCAGTTTGGGCAGCTTCTCATTTCTCTGGGGATGGGCTCGGCCACCCAGTTTGGATGACTTTAAGAGATACGGCAATCCTAAACCCACCCAGGGCCAACCACGTTTCTGTCAAGCATGCAACTTGTTGGGTTTATCCTGGCAAGTTGTAGCATGTACTTTGGAGACTTCCAAAGGGGGAAGCCAGGTGGTCCATGCTAGGTTACTAGAGTCTGCGAGGATATATACACGTGGACCCTCTAAAAATTCCACTACTCACTGAAGTCACCGTGTGATAGGATATAAAAATAAAATCCTTGCTAAAGTCATGCTTTGTAATTGAGCTATTCATCTTCTGCCTACCAGAGGCTCGATCTGCCAGCCTGTGAGGTCTTTGAAAGCAATGACCAGGGTCTTCATTCTGTGTTCCTAGAGGTGAACACAATGCCTGGTACACAATATATGTTTGTGTATGGCTTGTTCAATATTACTTAAATCTACTTGAAATAAAATATCACGCAGAAGGCCACGTTCACATCTATTTGTAGGATATCGACTATATCGACTTTCCCCTACATTGGTTTTCCTATGTCAACTTATTCTCTTATTCAAAGAACAATTTACTTAACACCTGGCTGCCAGGCATGGGGCCAGAGGTGTTATTTCAGGGAGGTGAAGGATAACTTCGGCTCTCAAAAAGCTAAGTCAAGGTGGGGAGACAGGCGACCCAACAAATCATCATCATATCATGTAGCAGGAACTACTGAGAGCACCACGGAGACATCTAAGCCCTGAAAATAAACTAATCTGCCAGGAAGAGTCAGGGGTCGATTCCCAAGTGAGAAGATACTTGAGCTGCCTCTTGAAGGAAGACCAAGAGGGTTTCTCCAGGTAAATGCCGGGCGCTGGGATGCCTGGCGGAGGTGCAGCATGTACAGAAGCGTGAGGAGGGAGAGCACCAGGAGCAGTTGAGGAGCGCAAGGCACTGGTTCAGGCAGAGTGCAGGGTTTGTGTGGGGCAACGAGAAAACGAGGCTTGACAGGTGACGAGGGGCCAGAGCCTGTTAAAAGCTTGGACAGTGTCCTGTGGCGATGAGAGCTACCACAGGAATTTAAGCAGACTAGTAAAAGCAAGTGTAGCTCTTATGGCTGGGTAACTCGGTTGGTTAGAGCAGCGTCCCAATATGCCAAGGTTGCAGGTTCGATCCCCAGTCAGGGCACATACAGGAATCAAGCAATGAATGCGTAAATAAGTGGGACAACAAATCTATGTTTTCTCTCTCTCTCTCTCTAAAATTAACCAATAGTCCGGCCAGCGTGGCTCAGTGAGATCGAGGTTCGATTCCTGGTCAGGGCACATGCCCAGGTTGCGGGCTCGATCCCCAGTTGGGGGCGTGCAGGAGGCAGCCGATCAATGACTCTCTCATCATTGATGTTTCTCTCTCTCTCCCTCCCTCTTCCTTCCTCTCTCTGAAATCAATAGACATGTTTTTTAAAAAAATGTTTAAAAAAATAATAAAATTAATCAATAAAAACAAAAAAATAAAAAAGGGCAAGAATACTAAGTTCTCTCTCGAGAATCATCCAGCACCCCATCCCCTACACCCAGAATTCATTTTTCTAATTTATAGCCAACGTGTGTCTGTTCAGTGTTTCCCCTCCGACTGTCTTGCCTTCTTATTTCATGAAAAGGCCTCTGGCTCTTCTTGTATAATTACCTTGTACTTCTGAAGCAGATTTTTAACTTGAGACGCAGAACTCGGTGAACGCGCGGAGTCTTCACCTGCGGTTTGATGTTCCACATTGTTCATCCAGCTAATCATCTCCGTGATTGCTTTATGAGAAGGCAATTTCTCCATCTGAAGCTGCAAGGACAAAATGATTTCCATTTAATTGCCTGCAGTTAACAAAACGAATTGGGGCATTGCTGAGGATGATATCTGGTTTGATAAAAGGTCTTGCTACGTAATTATGCAGGTTACTCCCAAAAACAAACCCAGCATTCAAGCTTAGAATAAATGACCCCAAAACAATGACAATGACCTTCACATAAACTAACACAGTGGTGCAGATAAACTAGGAAATAATGTAATTAAGCCTGATTTCTCTCTCAACAAAGATGCCATTGGAGGAGAGTCCAGTAATTAAGACCTATATTCAGTGGTGCCAGAGAAAAATACGTAGTGTCAATGAAAATTATTGAATCAAAGGAACAATTTTAAAATAGTTGTGAGCTAACAAGTGAATGCTAATTTAAATGCCGGGTCTTTGAATACTTACCTGGTGAAGTTTTTCCTGAATATCTGGAAGCTGAGTTATGAGCACTGTCCATTTCTGTTCGAACTGCGCTAGAGCAGCTCTCACTGTGGCCGTATCGGCCCCTTTCAGGTGAAGGAGTTGGTTCCCAGTACTTAGCACTGCAGTTTTCAAGGAGGACTTTTCATCAACTTCCTTGGAGAACTCCTAAAGGGGACAGTATGTGTACATGCATGAGCACACACACGCGCACCTCACAAACACACTTTTCCCACTAGGGGTCAGACACTGTTCCAGCCATTACATATATGGAAGGGAACAAAAAAAGATGGAATTCCTGCCCCTTGAGTGGCTTCTAATCTAGTGGATTAATATTTTAAAAAATAGACAAATCATCATTTCGACTTTCAAAAAGAAAGTATGGGTCACAACACAAAGTTCATATGAAATGAATTAAATGCAACAAATTTTTAACTAATATATTTGAAATCTTTCCTGTGCACTTACAGGTTTTTAAAAATATATTTAAAAAAATCTACATTTTAACACCAAAGTGAATAATCGTAGCTACAAAATAAGAAAAAGGAAAGAGAAAAGCCTAAAAGGTTTCAAAGTATAATTTATGTTGCAAATGTAATACTTTCCTTTAAGGAAAATCTCAACACAATAGAATAACAATTTTTAAAATTTATTGATTTTAGAGAGGGAGAAGAAAGGCGGCAGGAGGGAGAAAGGCTGACAGATTTACTGTTCCACTTACTGATGTATTCATTGGTTGCTTCTTGTACGTGCCCTGACCAGGGATGGAACCTGAAACCTTTGGTATATTGGGATGATGCCCTAACTAAGCCACCCAGCCAGGGCTAGAATAATAAGATTTTAGAAGAAATATCAGTTCTATATAATTTAAAACCATGTGTTTATTAACTTTAACACATAAGATTTAATAATCCTGTGAGGTTTTTGCGAAGGCAGGAGAGTCATTTTCTGCATTTGTAACACATGTCCTATGCCAGAGCAAGTTTTAAACTTATATATATTTTGTAGGGTCAATTAAAAATACACTTCATCATTCCTATGAATGCATATATAAATAGTATAAACAACTAGGTCTAAGTCTGGAGAATGCAGCTGCTCTAAGCCCAGGTCATTTCCGCCTATTTATTTCTGACCAATTATTATCTGAGCATATTCTATTACAACTTACAAAGAAACTGTCTATGTTGCTTCTGATTGTATCCAAGTCCTGAGACACATTAAGGGACTGTTCTTTCCAGTAGTTCAGAGTTTGCTGAGAAGATTCCAACCACTTGGTTAACTGGTCCGAATCTCTGTTATAACTAAAAAGAGCAAAGTGAGAGAAAGAAAATTAGAAACGTACTCTGTTGATGATGGATACCACCGGCATCTTTCCTTTTTATTTTACTCTGTGTGTTCCTGTGTTCCTCAGCCCTATTATTCAGAAAATTATCCTGCACATAAGGAGTATATCCTGCTCTATCACAGACCCGATGCTCCTGGCATTTTTATGGCTCTTTCCATTATGAGTAATCAAGAAGAAAGAGGCATTTTTAAGGCCTAAAACATTATTTTTAAAATTTCTTATTACAGCTACACAAAAAGAGATTATTCTTATTCATCAAATGTCCTCTATAGATGTGTTTGCAGTAAAAATATAACCAGCATAAGTTATATAACAAACAGCCAAGTGCGGTTGGCTACATGCCAACGTATTTATCCAATGTGATGAAAATACCCAAGAAAAAGGTAACCTTTCAGTTTCTTCAGGTTAAGACAGCCCCTTAAAAGGCAGGGATGAGAGAGGTTTAAACGTTCTATGGTCTCTGTTTTCTTCAAGGGGTTCGAGATCACATCAGCTTAGCAAAAAAAATACTGAACAATTCCAAAGACTTTTCCAAAATATCCTGTTAGCTAAAATTATTTGACTTCTTTTAAATTTTAAAACTTTTGGAAGAGGAAAGAGCAACATCATGGCATAAAGGTAACGTGTATAATTTTTTAATTCCTAACTTCCACAGAACTGATTATATATCATCCTGAGCCTAGCAAGCCAGTATCAAGAGACCCTAGACCCCATGCAGCCCAGAAGAGGGACCCGACTGCCTGGGACTGTCGAAGAGAAACTGTACAGTGGGGACCACCCGTAAAAGCCGGTGGGCTGCAGAATCCCTGAGGTCTTTCTCCACAGCGCTGACGCGGATCAGTCTCTAAGAAAACGTACCTGAGCAGGTGCTTGAGAAGCGTTTGTAGTCTGTGTAGCTCATGGTCAATTTTTTTGTTCAGGGACAGCCACTGCTCTTCTAGTTTGGCAATCTGGTCCTCTAATTCGGGAGAGCTCACAGAGGCCACCAGCTGTTTGCCTTCATTCAGAGTCTGGTAAAGCCGGGCATGCTTCTTATCAATGTTTCTTTTTATTTGCTAATAAAAGTCAAGTCATAGAATGAATTATTTTGAAATGAAACCGACCAATCTACTTACAAATACTCCATAAAAGACCCTATAGTAGAAGTAGAGTCTCCTGAAGAAACAATACCACTTTCCTAACCCTCAAGACTCTTGTAGGCTGGCTGGACAAACAGGATTGTTGGTTTATTTATTTTTTTTATTTTGATTGAGTGATTGATTGATTTTAGAGAGAGAGGAAGGGGGGAGAGAGAAACATCAGTTTTGTTGTTCCACTTATCGATGAGTTCATTGGTTGTTTCTTGTATGTGCCCTGACCAGGGATTGAACCCATAACCTTGGGTATCGAGATGATGCTCTTAACCAACAGAACTACCTGGCCAGGGGGATTAATGGCTTATTAATCACTTTTCACAATGACAGTTTCCAACTAATGTATTTCTCTTTACGTTTGTTTTTGTTAATCCACACCTGAAGATATTTTTTCCATTGATTTTTTTTTTCTTCAGAAAGAGTGGAAGGGAGGGAGGGAGAGAGAGAAACATCAATTGGTTGCCTCCACCCCGACTGGGGCCAGGGGTCAAACCTGCAACCCAGGTACATGCCCTTGACAGGGAAGCAAATCTACGACCCTTCAGTCCACAAGCCAACACTCTAACCACTGTACCAAACTGGCCAGGGTCCGGCTAATGTATTTCTATCACACAGATTAAATCTATAGACTTAGACATGTGAACAGAAAACAGAAATTCACAGATCTATCTAAAAACAAAAAAGGTAGCAGTCTATGGGGCACACTCAGCTTGCAGACAGGTTTTGTGTGACCTGAAGATTATTTTGAAAATCAGGAAATATTACATAGAAATCAGGATTTCCTGTGGCTCTAGGCAAATGGAAGATCTAGCCCCCTGGGTCTGCATTCTCATGGGGCAAAGGTGGGCTGAAACTGAGCAGCAACGGCCTCCTATCGAGCAGCCTGCTCTACCCGGTTCCCCTCCACCCAGGCCCCACCTCCCTTTCGACTGCAGACGGTCAGAGGCCCTTCTTTCTGTCCCCCTGTCTGGCCCCTGTAGGCATTTTACATTGCGACCTAGATATGAAGGGGATCAATAAGAAAACATGTCTTTAGTATCCTTCAGACCCAGATAATAGGACAAAATTCATTTCCAATCTTCTGAATGTAAAGATTCAGCAGGGAGAAAGTAAGACGGCTTTAGGGGAACAAATTAAAGCAGACAACACATCATTAGTAAAACGTCATGGAAAGAAAAATAAAATTCTTCAAAGCTGCAAATACAATGACCCCCTGAAGAGAACTCTGTCTAAGGCAATTATCTTCCATGGTTGGGTTCAGCTAATGACACTTATCCGGACAGCTATTTACATTTAATCTTTAAAAATAAATTATGATCCAAATACAACGCTTGCCATTTTCCAATTAACTTAAGTCTTTTTAAAGCCAAAAATTCTACTTCCAAGGTCCTTCCCATCATTCCCATTTGTGACCCCTCTCTCCCACCCCAGCCTGTGGGGTCGAATAAAATATCCAACATTAATTTAAAAAAAAAAAAAAAAAAAAAGGTTCTAATTTTCTAAGCCTTCAGGATGAGACACTCCATCTTTAGAGCCACTCTGAGCAGCTTTAATTTCCCCATTTTATACATGGAGTCAGACTGCACCGGGCACTCGGCCCGTGAGGCTCCGAGCCAGCATCTGAACACAGGTTTGTCTGGACTCAAGAGGCCACACAACTGACGCCTACATTCCATGTCCCACAGACATGCCCCGATGAAGATGCAAGCCTCTCCATGATGCACAAGACTGAGAGAGACCCTAAGAAGTCTATGACACAGGTGGGTTTACAAGATATCTGACTTCTTAGTCTGGTGAATTTATTTAAATGTCTTAGAACAATGATTTCATTTTTAATAGAATCACAGGTTACATTTGAAGGGATATAGTAACTTTTGGGGAAAGAAATAATCAAGCTTATATTAGTTTGGCTAACATTAACTGTTTCTTACTATAACGAGGCTTAAAACGCTATCTGTTTTCAACTGCCTTTTTTTTTTTTTTTTTTATCTTCACTCAAGGATATTTTTTCCATTGATTTTTTTTTTAGAGAGAGTGTAGACAAGGGGGGAGAGAGAAACATTGATGTGAGAGAGACACATCGATTGGTTGCCTCCTGCACGCGCCCTGACTGAAGCCTGCAACCGAGGTACGTGCCCTTGACCAGGAATCGAACCTGCGACCCTTCAGGTCTGCAGGCCGATGCTCTAACCACTGCTCACTGCAACTGGCCAGGGCTCAACTGCATTCTTTTAGCTGCTCAGATGGTACTTTCAGTATCCCTAGGCTAACAAAGCATTCAAACATCAGCTTCCTGCCCCCAGAGGACTGAGATTTACCTTAGAGTCAGGCTCAATAAAATAAGATGGCAAGAGGTCAACTGTAGCTTTCTAATACTTAGAGAACATAACCACAATGAGCCAGCCTCTGGAAAGTATTGCCTATAGGAGCCTGAATGCTTGTGAGGAGTGGCAGGCCCCTGCCAAGTAGTCCACGCGTTCATTTTCCAGTCTATTTAGGCAACGAGCCTGCTTTTGAAGTTTAAAGTTGTTATTTGATAACTACCTCTAGCCACACAATTCAGATTCTCATTACTTATATTCTAAAGTTAAAACCTGAGAAGATTTTAAAACTCGTTTTCATCTTGTTGGTCATGTTCTCAGTGCCACTCGAAGATCACTGTAAGGCTTTATCTTTTCTGTGGCACTGAAATCTGAGACAGAGACTTTAATAACAGTACTAAAAGTTACACAGGATAAACGTTTAAAGTTTGAAGTCTTTTTATGATGCTTGTGGCAGATAAGAGATTATTGTCTGGCTTATAGGCTATGTCCAATCAGAGCTTCGCTATAGTAATAAAATTATGTTTAGAGGCTCATGGTTTACAAAGTTCTTTCCATATGTTGGTTCATTTCCATAACCACTGACATCCACCTCTTTAGACAGGTAGAACCGGCATGATTACCTATATTCTACAGATAAAGAAATGGAGGCTTAGAGTCAGGAAAAGTGACAAGAGTGAAAGTGAGAGCCAGGACTCCGACTGAGGTGAGGTCCTGGACCCCAAGCCAAAGATGTGGTTATGCTGAGGAGCTCACAGTCAAATCTACGGTTTCCCTGAATATGTTTTACAGTGATTTGTGTGAACTATTTTCATTTCAATTCAAATCATTCACCTTGAAAATCAAGCAATTTAGTAAACACACTCACACACACACAGAAAGTGCTATAGACCAGGCCTTTGAAAGCTTAAATGGAAGCAAAATACCTGGTAAAATGAAATCCTTTCCACTAATCTTTCCTCTGTCTCTTCCACCAAACTCACAGAGGGCAGTGTAGATACCAGGATTTCCAGGTCCTTCTCAAGAGATGCATAGTTTTCATCAAATTCTTCCCATTTCTAAAGAATCAAGAACATAAAACCAATAGGAGCCCTTTTAATTAATCCAAGACAGTGACAAAATCATAAAAATAAAATCATAAAAATAAAAATGAACTCTGAGACGTACAGAAAATTAAAGCACAGGTTCTAGGGGTTTCTGAGGTAGATCGCCCACTCTAGTGAGAGCTCAGTAACTAATGGAAATAAATAATCCCAGTGCCTTTGCAGAGGTCCTTCCTCACCCGAGAATATTTTTTCCATTACTTTTCAGAGAGAGTGGAAGGGAGAGAGAGAAAAAACATCGATGTGAGAGAGACACATAGACTGGTTGCCTCCCACACGTGTCTGGACCGGGGATCGAGCCTGCAACCAGGGTTTGTGCCCTTGACCAAAATTGAACTGAGACCCTTCAGTCCATAGGCTGGCACTCTAACCACTGAGAAAACCAGCCAGGGCTGGAGGTTTTTAAAAATCCAGTTGGCATCAGCGCTTTATACTTGACTCATCTAACAGAGTAGGGGCTGAAGTGATTACGTTACAGTGATATTCTCAGCAGACACCTCCGTGGAGGCTTTAGGGCCACAGGGTAGCCGCTCTCTCAGGTGCAGAGGCAAAGGGCCAACTTTTAAAGCTTCTCAACAGATGATCCTGTTAGGCTGTTTCCTCCCTCCCTGCCCCAATGCCCAGTCCACGGAGCACTGTCCTAATGTGGTGCTCAGAGCATAACTTCACTGCTTGAGGTGGTGGGTTTACACTTCATCAGGGGAGAAGTACCACCTTAGCCTGAATCTTGCCTTGTCCTGGCTGTTTCCACAGAAGCCCACTTCTGGGGTCTCTGCACATTACAGAGCCGACATATGGACACTAAATAGTATCTGTTGGAAAAATAACCACCTTGCTAATTCTCTTATCTATTGAAATAGTGGGTCACCTGGCTACTTGGGGCACTCCCTGGGATCATGAAGTCTTATTTTTGATACCATGAAATAGTACTATAAATATCCATTTGACACACAAACTAGAAAATTCTAGTAGCACAAAATAACACCATATCGTATCATGTTATATAGTTGAATATTTCCTTGCTTTTTGTTTATTTCCTTTAGGTGCTAACGTCTACTGCATTTAAAAAGTTACAGGGGGGGAATCTTAAAATTGAGAAACTGCTTTATGCAAGCTTAATTTTTTTCTTGGAATTGGGACGAGATTGTCATGAATCCACTTCAGCGGCAGAAAGAACATCTGATTCAGGAAGTACAGTTTCTGAACCAGTGAGTCCTTCATCCAAATGATCTCACTCAAGATCTCAATGTGCTTTCGGTTCTGTCTAATTGCACTACACAAACCTAGATGGTAGAAAGATGCTGTGCAGTGCCTAATGTACATATAAGAAACCTGGAGAGTATGATGCTAAGTGAGATAGGCCAGGTAGAGAAAGACAAACATCACATGATCTCACTTACAGGTGGAATCTAAGGAACAAAATAAACTGATAAACAAGATAGGACCACAGACATGGAAGCATGAAACAGACAGAGATCTCAAAGGGAGGGCGGGAAGAGATCAGCCAAAGAACTCATAGTATGTATGCACAGTCCATGGGCACAGACGACAGGCACGAAGGCCTGGGGGGGGGGCAAAGGGGAAAATGGGGGACATCTGTAATAGTCTCAACAATAAAATAAATTTAAAACCAAAAGGAGAGACCAGAGGGAGGAAAAGCAGTGGGGGAAGCGGTGGGGTAGACAAAAGCAGTGCCCACCGCCTCCCACAACCACATCAAAATTACAACTAAAATACAGAACCACCATCACTCAGAAACCGCCTGAAATCTAGCAGAACAGAAGCCCTACAAGGAGAGAACTGAAGGAGCAAAGAGACCGACCTTCATTAATGATACTGAAGTCATTTCAGGAGTAACAGAGGAAAACAAAATGCAATTTAAAGAAGAGCTACAGTCTAAAGATGATAAAAAACCACCTGATAAGTGAATGATCCTGGAATGCATTACTGATTTTGGACTCCAATCTAGAGCCAAGAAAAGGCAACATTTCTTTTACTGTTAGGAATAAAAGGGGGGGAGGAAGTTACCTTGCTTTGTTTGCTAGGAAGTGCATCAGCCAGATTATAATGTAATGCTCTTTTAAGTGATCTTATTTTACTTATTAAACCAAAACCTATTTGTGGTGTCACTTGAAAAAAATAAAACAAAAAGAAACCTCAGCTACTATTTCTTTCAGGGAGTAGCAGTGAGAACTAGAGGCAAGGTTCCACATTCCTCCTTGTGGTTCCCATTTAATTACTGCTTAATGACATCCAGATACTAGTTTTTGACACCTGGAGGGTGGTGGTTGACAACCTGGAATTTCCGGCTTCAGTTTATGTAACCCACATACCTGCAACAGACTCTGCAGCTTTATTCCACATTGGCATGACTTTTCTTCTAGTAATTTAACTTCTTTTACTTGTTCTGCCCAAGATGCCTCTTTCTTTTGCAATAAAGAAGGAAGCATTTTGATGGAGGATGTCTGGATTAACAGCATGTCAGCAACAAGCTTCTGGAAAAAAAGCTGTAAAATGGAGAAGGTTTAATATTTATTTCTGCAATGGGAAGTGTCAAAAACCAAGCTACTTTAAGTCTTTATCCTGTTACATTTGCTCTTTTAACCCCAAATCCCAGGACAGCCATGTGGCATCAAACACCTGACAAAACAAAATGAATATTGACTATGTATCCCTTAGTCTTTGAACATTAATGACATTTTAACAAATCTTAAAGAGAAATCATCCTAAGTAATATTTTCCACAAAACAGTCCACGTTAAAGGGCAACCATTATTAATTGGTTAATTTTTAAATAATACATATATATCTTTATTGATTTCAGAGACAGGAAGGGAGAGGGGGAGAGAGAGAGAAACACCAATGATGAGAGAGAGTCATTGACCGGCTGCCTCCTGCACGCCCCCTGCTGGCGATCGAGCCCGTGACCAGGGGCATGTGCCCTGATCCAGAATCGAACCTCAATCTCCTGGATCCTGGGGTCAATGCCCAACCGCGGAGGCACGCCAGGCAATTAGTTAATTTCTATTTCCAGTGAGATCTTCCTAAATCAGTTATTCAGAATTAAGAAACTTTACAAAGAGGTAGATAATGATGTAGCTGATTAATTTCAAGCCAGTAAATTGGATGGATACACGTGTTAGCCCAAGGAGCCCACATAGTCTACAGCTGGGGCTCCTAAACTCTGACTCTTCATTTCTACTCAATAAAACAGCTAAGCAAAGGGAATTTGTTGACGGGAACTTTGGGGGTCCTGGTACGTAACAGCTCCCAGAATGGCACTTTAAGAGCCTTTACAGGGGAAGGCTTTCCTCCAGGTGGTCCGCCTCCATTTACATCAGCTGTCCCCTCTCCTTGTGGGAGGAGCCTTCGGGTCCCTTGTGAAGGACACATGGAGGGTTTACACAGCAGCTCACACAGGGCCCATCAACTGACATTGTTTTCTCTTCTTCCCCTCCATCCTTTACACATATTTACCTCATAATTTCTTAGACTAAGGCCTACTTATCAAAGGCTTGACTTAAGCCTGTTGAAGGCAGGAACTGCCTTACATATTTATTATCAGCCCTTAAATCACCATGTCTTTTGTTGGTGATCATGAGGTTTGTTTAATGAAATGAATGGAAAACTAAAGGGTTTACTGTAACATGACACTAGGTATACATTTATATATTTAAATGGTATTTCTTTTTATCTCAGGTCTCAGGAAGCCTTTTCTAAACTTCTAAATTTCCCCTATTAAAAGCTCTCAAAGCACATATCCCAATTTTAATTTTAAATTTATCTGAATAACTCCGTGATAAATGTCTTCTCAATCAACTGAAAGCTCCACCAACGTAAGGAACTACATCTGCTTTTCATTCACCAGCATGTTCTTTGAGCTTAGCTGGGCTCCTGATGCAGTTAGCATTCTGATGGACGCTTGTTAAAAGAATGAATGAGTGATGCGTATTTCCCCAAGGGAGAAAGTGGACGCTCTCCGTTCACACTCAGAAAAACGCTGTCTATGAAAAGGTGCTCCGACCTGCGTGTCTCACCTTGTGATCCTGTATCTGAGCCTGTAAGGCGCCTTTACTTTTGGTTTGTTGTAAGTGGTCACGAGCAAGCTTCTCCTTCCCGATATTCACCAGTTCCTCCAAGCCTTGCAACAGCGCATCCTGCTGGCTCTCGGTGACGAAAGGGCTGCTGAGCTCCGAGTACCTGGCTCTCAGGATACCCCACATGCTGTCAAGTACATCCTGAAAAGAAAGAGCAGGTTGCCCAAACATTTTCATCCAGCCACGAAAATAATAAAATGAAAAACAAATCTAAACTCCCTTGGTGGGAGAAAAAAAAAAATCTTTAAATAATCATAATAAATAATCCTTATAAATAATCATAGTAATTCACTGCTTGAATGTTTTCTGCTCAGACACACCTCTAATTTGTACACCTCTTGGAGTTGAGCATAAGGTAAGTGAAGCCTCTCCCCTTCGGCTCTGAGTTTTGCTACTCGGCTCTCTGAGTTCTGCAGCTCTGCTGTATATGCATCTGCTTTCTAAAGAGACAATGCAAAAGTGGGAACATTTTAAATAAGTTAGAGAAGGGTACGTATTTATTAAAAAATTAAATTAAGGGAAAATGGAAATCCCACTTTCCCTCCCTCCCTTCCATCTCTCCCCAAAGTACCACAGCCAACAGTTTGTTCCTAGTGCCTTCTAACTGCATACTAGTAGCCGTACCAGTGCATGTCCTTAAACTCACTGAATTGCACACATTATTCTGTTCTGCAGTTTGCACAACTCACTTATTGGATCCTCAGCATGTCCTCAAATCAGTACAAACACGACTGGCTCCTTTTAAACAGACAACTGGCTGCACACTATGTTTGTTACAGTCTGCTCTTAATAGACTTGTGGGTTATTTAGAGATTTTAACTCAAGCAGTGCTGCCTGGTCCATCCTTGAATATTTACATACACATTTATCTTTATGCACTTATTTCCTTCAGATAAATGCATTCTAGCATCTAGAGCAGTGCCTGAACACAGCAGGTCCTCAACTAATACTTGCTCAATAAGATGAAATGAAACCCCTTCTGAATAGAAGAGCATTTATGCTGAAAATTTTGATACAGTCCAGCCAAAAGATCCTCGATCAGCACTTCTACGGAGAGGGTGAGGGTGGATTTCCCAACACTGCCCAAGCTTGAAATTTTGCCCAGGTGACAGGTAACGATGGCCTGTTGTTTTGATTTATACTTCATAAAGTACTACTTAAGCAATATTTCCAAAGGTCAACATAAATATTTTCATTTTTATTTATTTATGTTAGCCTTGCCACTGATAACAAAGGGAAGGGGCTCAGAAGCACGGCTCAGACACAAGACTCTGGTCTGAGGTTAGGGCAGTCTGCACGACCTTGACTTGATTACCTGAAGCTGTTCATCAATACTCTGGCCACTAATTTCATTCAAAGACTGCTGTAAAGATGTCTTATTCTTAAGAAGTTGATCATATAATCGTTTTATTTCATTCTGTACAAAAAGATAAATGCAAGAACAGTGAGAATTTCATTTAGGCCTTCAATACCTTTTTTAAAAAAAATTTAGTGGTCCTTTAATTTTTGTGCTATCAGAAATTTCAAACATATACCAAAACAGAGAAATCCCTGCATTACCATGATCCAGCTTTAACAATGACTGACTTGCAGCTGGTCGTCTGTCCTCTGTATCTCCCTGGAGCTCTCTCGACTCTACAAAGCCTCCCTCCCCTCAGATTATTTTGAAGCAAATCCCAGATATCATAGTATTTCATCAGTATATGTGTCAGTACGTATCTCTAGAAGATAAAGATGCCTCCCTTTAAAAATATCTCAAATCAATAATAATTCTTTAGTATTATTAACAGTCCAGGCAGGGTTCACATTTCTCTATTTGCCTATAATTTTTTGTTTTGTTTTTTTTAAATTGGGATCTAAATGAGGCCCAATAGGTTGCAATGGATTAACAGGTGTCCTAAATCTCCTATAATCGGCAGGCTTCCTACCCTTCTCTCTTTTCTGCTTCTTAGATTTTGTGAGAGTGGGGATATAATGGGACATTTATTTTGCTCAGCTTCCCACTGTCTGGATTTGGCTGACTGCACCCCCATATGCCGCTAACATATTCTTCCCTGGTGTCTATTTTACTTAAATTCTAGAGGCTTTATCAGGTTTGCTTTCACGGGCAAGACTCCTTCATAAGTGGTAGTGTTTTTCTTTTCTTTTTTCATTAGGCAATTTTAGTAGCTTCCTAACTAATCTACCTGCCTTAAGTCTCTCCTCCAGTCCACATTAGACAGCCATCAGATGAGTCTACCTGAAACATACACAAACTGTCATTTCTTTGCTCAAAAACTTTAATGGCTCCCTCTTACCGAGAAATCCTCCCACACGACGCTCACTGAGTGGCTGAGTGCAACAAAGGAAAGAAACAGTGCTTCAGCTCAACATAAATCCATACCCGAGACTTTGGAAAGGCCTTGGCTTTCGAATGGACTCCAACCACGAGCAGAAGAACTAAAAGACCTTCACGGAAAGAAAGCCTCACCGCTTTCCTTAGCAATTCCCACTCACGAAGCCCACCAGGAACAGGAATTCCCGGGAATTCGGGGTCCGTGCTGCACCCTAACAGCAGGCGGAGCGCCCAGACGCGTACCTGGTAGCTGCGGTTGTAGTCGAGGCCAGCTTTCAGGGACTTGCTTCTGGACGCAGCGGCAGCCTGCGTGTGCTCCAGGTAAACTTGGAGGCTGCCAAAGCATTCAGGGAACAAGCTGGCGTTCCTGCCAGGCCGAGCCATGGCTTTCAAAAGATCACCCTTCTTGTCACTCATAGCTAAGTACAGTTTTTTCAGCTCGAGAGCCAGTACCTGCAAAGTGGAGAGGCAGGAAGACAGTGAATGAGCTCGGAGTGCCAAAGGCTTCAGCTCCGGTTTAAGCAGGGGGCTGACCGCGACAACGGGCAGCACGTGGGCTTGCTGAAGTCCCCTACCTCGTGGTACGCTTGCTGGGCACCAACATCCTCTCTGCAGAGCCCAGGCGTCTGCAGCAGCTCCTCCACGCTGCCGAGGCACCGACTGAGGGTCAGAAATAGTTCAAATAACTGTTTATCCAAATATCTGTATGTTTCCTCTGTCATGTTTTCCTGAATCAAGGGGAGAAGAGAAAAATCATTAGGATTCCTTGCCTTCCTCTGCCTACATTTTCCCTGGTTTCCGTTACACCTTACGATTTGTTATACTTTTTTATAATTAGTCATTTCAAACACTTTGTGAACGACGTAGCAGAAGAAATAAATAAAATGAAGATGTTAAACTCTGAGAGAAACAAGTTTGAGAAACTCAGTGTTAGGTAGGGAGTTGACTGTTGGATGGAACTAAGAGGTAAGTAAGTCACAAGATGAAGGACTTGGTTAGTGGGGCCATCCAGGGGGGAGTGTGGCCCCAGAGAAATACTCCCCGACCTCCCCCTGCTCCTGCCTCCCACATTTTAATGGAGAAAGCAGGTAAAGGAAATCTAGTATGGCCTAGAGAAGGGAAAGGAGGCAAGAAAGTCGAAGGGGTTGATCAGAAAGAGGTATAATATCTTAAAGATAAGGGTGGTACAGCGATACTGTGTTGCACATTTGAAAGTTGCTAGAAGAGCAGGTCTTAAAAGGTCTCATCACAAGGAAAAAAATTTGTAACTACATTTGGTGACGGATGTGAATTAGACTTATTGTGGCCAGCATTTCGCAACATATACAAATATTGAATCATTATGTTGTACACCTGAAACTAATATAATGGATGTCAATTATATCTCAATTAAAAAAAGAAGGATGGGCTATGAAGCAGGGGAGAATTAGGAATGTCATTTATGGGCTGATTATAAGCATTAAGGCGACCCTTAGATGGAGAACTCCATGGGGGACCCCTAAGGTTGTCCAATTATGCCCTGGTAAGTTTAAGAGCCACAAGGTCTGCTTTAGCACAAGCTGTTGGAACCACCTCTTTTTCTTTGCCCATGATCACCTTGAATTTTTGACCAGTTACAAGTGATTTAGGAGCATGCTAAAGCTAGTAATCGCCCCAATTCCAGCTGTTTCCGACCACCTTCTCTGATGGAGACTTACAGTACCCAGCACACGTCCCAGCACTAAGCCTACTCAAGGCTGGAAACCTGACCGGCCCTCCTCCTCTAATCTCAGAGCACCACTGCAGAGAGTACTCATCAATCACCATCCTTGTTCCTGCTAATCCTGCGCTCAGGCTCAGAAGCCGTTGCCCTTGGTGCCCTAGGAAGCCACTGCTAAATTTATCAGAGTTGGCAGGAGAGATAAATTCTGTTTGCTGTTCTAAAACCCATTCCATTATGCGTTCTATTATTTGTCTGTAAAAAAACATGACCAATTTACAATATCACATCTCCCTTTTTTGTTACTGCCGTGGGGAAAGTATATAACATGCAGCTGCTACCTGTGTCTGAAGATTATTTGCCTCTTGACGCAAGTCTTCAAGTTGAGTAGTGTAAGTTTTCAGTTCTTCAGCAGTTGGGAATCTAAAGTTATACACACTCACACTGGGTAGAATGCTCATATCTGTGGCAACCTATTTTTAAAAGGGAAAACGCTGTTAGAGACCATCTGAGATCTTGCTGGTGTTAATGTAAAACAACAACGTTAGCATGCTATCTTCCAAATTACCTCCTTGGTTTATAAGAAAAAAGTAATTAAATTTTAAATATTTTGGACANAAATGCCTTAACGTTAGCATGCTATCTTCCAAATTACCTCCTTGGTTTATAAGAAAAAAGTAATTAAATTTTAAATATTTTGGACAGTTGGAAAAGTCATGACAGGCTTCACGTAGACACTTGAGGGTCCATTTAGACAGCAAAACAAAGGAACACAAACCATAATTTAAAAAACCAAGTAAAACCACTAATCCTTCAATTTAGTAGCAATGCTCTCCAGTTACCAGGCTAGCTGCTTCTCCTCCCGTTTACTGGTCAACTCCTGGTATATAGACAACTCTTAGAATAAAATACAGTCACCTCAGGGACAGATCTGATCTTGATTTTGTTACTGAAAGCTAAATAAGTATTGAAAATGAGCTGTGACTTCAGAAGGGAGGATGATTCAGAGTTAATGTCTTTCTGAAGTGGGAAAACTGACACAGAAAGAAACAGGGTGGGGTGGCAGATGCTTCTGCTTGGGGAAAGAGCCATCAGTGGCGTTCTGTTCTTGGAAAACAAACGATGTGCATGTTATGGTGTGTGTAACAGGAGAAAGCAAGACTAAAGCCCTACCCATGAGCTGGATTCAACTTTAACTGGTCTAATGAGGTTCTCTGCAGAATAGAACTGAAAAGGCCCCCCCAGAATGGGGAATTGGGAAATCACTGGTAACCTTTGCCTTGGGAGCTTGAGTGCAATGTTGAAGGCAGAAGCTTGGCTGCTGTGAGCAGCAGCGCTATCCTGCTCATGGGCTCCTCGTTTGGAGAGAAATCCAGCAGTAGTTGGCACAGGATGAGTAAAACTAATAATGGCAATGAGGAGGGGTGCCAGTGGAAATGCCCACTGAGAGGTACCATTGGAACAGGGGCCAGCACACTGCAGATTCCAAAGAATCTTTTGATGGATGAATGACACACAGCACTGTATCATTTTTTGAAGTGTTTTTTCTACATATATTATTTATTCCTTTTGTCAACATCAGAAACGCCCAAAACTGTAGACAATTTTTAGGAGGTTATTTGAGCCAAAGTGACAATTGTTGGGAGGCAAATCTCACTAGACTGAGAAAATGCTCCAGAGAATGGCAGTTTTACAGTTTATATTATACATGAGAATCAAAGGAGGAGACATAAGGAGAGTTATGTGAGATTCACTGGCAGTGGATTAGGGAGGCGGGAGAAAGCAAAGGGGAAAACTCTGAGGCTGGATAAAGAGTGAAACAGGGAGTCACCCACTCTTTTACACTGGTGGGTACAGGATCGTTAACAGTTAACATTTACAGCACAGAGAGGTGTTGGAGAACAAGGCAACAATGAGGGGCTCGGTGCTCTGGTGGGAGTTTGTGCCCTGAGGGGTCTGGAAAAGGAGATTACTCCAACATTCCAAAGGTATGTTATTTTAGATGCAAAAAGACAACAGGCAGGCTCAGCTAAGGTAAAGACTGACCTTTGGTCAAGGAAGCTTCAGGCCTAGGATGTGACCGCCCACCATGATCTGCTTTTAGTTAGAAATTTTTACGTGCAGACCATCTCATAATAGTAATTTTCAGTCTGAGTTTGTAGGACCCGCCACGTGGCCTCCCCTGAGCTTGTCAGGTTTAGTATGTGGCCCCTTTTTCACCCACACTTTATTCACTCAATATACAGTAACAGAGACTGTCTGATGTTCCAGGTGCTGTGCCGGGCACTCGAATACGAACCAGGCAGACACGAGCTCTCTTCTCCTACCATCTAACGAGGACATGGACAATCAACAGGCGCACAGATAGTGAGAGCTACGAGCAGGGAAGCCCAGGGTGCTACAGAAGCACAAAGCGGGGGGCACTTAAGTAAGGCCGACTTCCAGGACGGTGAGAGGGAGTCAGCCAAGCGAAAAACACACTTGGCATCTTTGCTTTCTGAAAACAAATTGCTGCATAATGCAGAGCGTACCTGTGTATTTAATGAACACTTGTTGGCCTTTCAAAGATAAACACGCTTATTTACCCTGTGTGCACAGACATACTGACCTGAGGCTCCACAAGCTGAGGGGGAGGCTGCCTTATTTTCGACGACAGCTCCTGATGTAAATACTGCCACTCATCCCCATTTCGGCCCTGGCCGGACAGGACTGAGTCTGGAGCACCATGTTCAGGGCCAGATGCCTCACCACTTTCAAGAAAAAAACAAAAGGTGCAAAGAGCAATCAACACACAAAAATTGTATCGCCTTCAATGTTTTGTAAGAAACACTCTTAATCCTCCCAACCATCAAACTATTGGATGTAGAACTCTAAAAACTGCCTACCTCACAGACGATTTCTGACTTGTGTCTTCATTGTGTTGGTAACACTCGGGCCACATTTTCTTAGCATTCAATTCTATGAATTTGATGAAATCTTTCTGTTCCATTGGTTTCAACTCCAGTATCTACCATTGAACAAGATTGAAACGGTCCAGTCAATCAAGGTTTTCAATTCTACCCAAGGGTTTCTTCTGTTGAGATCATATGATTTTGAACTTCCTAAATTATTATGTACTATTTCTCTTTTTTTGCTTGTTTTCTCACTAACTTTTATTTCTCAAAAACCTACTTAAAATATTTCGCACAACCATGTATATAGCACACATGGAAAATCATCAGAAATACACTAACACATTCTGAAATAGGGAAAGAGGTATCGCCGTGACAGAGGTAAGTTCATCCTGAAGATTTACACTTAGTTTGATATAAGGTGCAAGTTAATAAAGTATCAAAGTTAGTGTTCCCAGCTGTGGCAGACGAAAGCAAAGCAGATGCCACAATAAATGCTCAAAACTCAGAGCTGTTGCCCCGGCCAGGTAGCTCACTTGCTTAGAGCGTTGTCTCGATGTGCCTAGGTCGTGGGTTCAATCCCCAGTCAGGGCACATATAAGAAGCAACCAATGAACCTATAAATAAGTGGGACAACATATTGATGTTTCTCTCTCTCTTCCCCTCCCCCCCTCTAAAAATTAATCAATAAATTTTTTTTAACAGAACTCAGAGTTGTTACACACACAGGATCACCACACACCACACTTTCCACTCAGTCACACAGGAGAACACTCCAAGGGCAGTTCGGTATTTAGTTCAAGGGGAAACTCCATGTATTAATCTTATCCTACAACTGTTAGGGGCTCACATTACCTGTTGCTGCTGGAAATCCTTCTGCCTGCCGAACTGTGGCCTTTCCATGGTAACAGATTCAAACTCAGAAAGGTTATCTGGTTGGAGAACTTTCTGATGCTCAGAAGGTTTCTTTACAATGGTGGAATGCTGCAAAGGATTTTATGATGGTAGACTGCTTATTTAAAAAGAGGGCACACTTTATTTCCATTCTAATAATGAGGCTACATAATGGAAACATTTTATATGAAGTAAATGACTGCATTTTGTTATTTACTATAATTATATACTATGATTCAATGTACTTATTTCAAAACAACTTCAAAACCCACTACATTTGATGAAGAGGTCATCTCATCATTGCCTCAATTTACTTCACCCAATCAATGACTAAAAGTCAAGATATTTATTTTCCCCCCTTAAGAACAAAATAAAATAAAATACAAATAAAAAAGAGAAAAGTATTATGCTTATAAATTAAAATTTCCCTTACATCTACAACATAAGTAGATTCTTTTAAAAAAGAAATATATTAGGATGAAAGGGGAACCACATGGCTTGTGTATCTGCAGCTAATCTCATTTCTGTGACTAAAAGTCCTCCAAGTAGAACAATCGCCTAAGTACAGATGCAAATCTTATATAGTAAGATCCTACTCATAAGATGTATATGTGCATTTATAAACACAGAACACTTTTAAGTCACAAGAACACTTTAACTGTTACTATGATCAGAATATGTAAATATTTGTAAATGAATAATGAAAGTACCCTAGAAACAGGTTTTGTGTTTCTGATGTCAAATGTTAATCTTATCTATAAAGGCTTCTTTTTCCAGTCCATTGGAATCACAAAATTCCTTTAAAATGCATCCTTCTTTTATGAAGAAGGCTTATACCAGACCTCACTGCTGGCAAGATCACCCCAATCAAACCCAGCCCAACCCAAACCAAACCAAACCAACGCCATCACCAATAACAACCTAGATAGGTAAACTGCACAGCAAAATGAAACCAATAACAAAAGGCAGTGCAACCGTCCCTTCCAGTTTGAAGAGGCACAGTTCTTTCCTAGCTAGTGTAATTCCTCTGTTGTTTCAGCATGTCCACCCAGAGTCCCTTCCTGCTGGGTCTACCATAACCATATATCTGCAGGCAAGTCTATACATAGCAACATTTTACCTGGTCCTCATTATATTTCTCCTGAAGCATCAGCTGGACTTTTTCCAAATTGCACTTCACAGTTTTTAGCTTTGAGGCAAGTGCTTCGGCCTCCTGTTGAGTGGCTCCACTGTCTCCCAAGCCCTGGTCTTTGCAGCTCTCTAACAGAGAGGCAACCTTGTGCTCAATCTCCGTGAGCATAGCCTAGGAAATAAAATCATTTAATTATACACAGTTTTGGTCTTGAACGAGTGTTATATCCCAATATAAGTTAGATTCCTTCTCTCTACCTAAATGTATATAAGAAGTCCCAGGCCCGGCCAGGCGTGGCTCAGAGGTTGAGCATCGACCTAGGATCCTGGTCAGGGCACATGCCCGGGTTGTGGGCTAGGCAGCCGATCAATGACTCTCTCATCATTGATGTTTCTCTCTCTCTCCCTCTCCTTTCCTCTCCCTGAAATCAATAAAGATATATTAAAAAAAAAAAAGTCCCAGAAACACAGGTTGGAAGGGAACCTTGC